CGGAGGGTTCCAAGCAGCCTGGTAACTGGGAGCTTTGCTCCAGGACCCCCTCCATCCCCCGCCATACCCGGGCAGCCCCCTCCCGCCAGGCCCTGCTGGACCTCGCGCCTCTTCTTCTCCCTGTCACCCGCGGTCGCCTCGGGCGGGGATCGGGTGCCCTGGAGCGCAAAGCCTGACGCGTCCCCCCTCTCGTACCCCCCCACCTCCCACCTCCCAGCCTCTTGGCGGCGATGAGACAGAGCGGAGCCTCCCAGCCCCTGCTGATCAACATGTACCTGCCAGGTACCAGGGACCAGCTGGGGGCTGGAGGCACCAGGACCAGGGCGGGAAGTCTGGGCTGGGGCATGGGAAACGGACACTGGGGTCCAAGGGAAGGGGCGCGGTCCAGAGACTCGGATTCCTGGAAGGACTGAGCAATCTAGGGCATTGGAGGACGTGAAAGGCAGATGGAGAGCTTTGGGGCTTTAGTGTGAGGTCTAGAGGACTCGAAGTGAGCAGAGCAGGAGCCTGGGAGGCAGAGGGCGCCCGCTCAGGGGCTGAAAGAGCCCGGAGGGGGAGCAGGGGTCTTCGGTGTAGTGGGGGACTCAGTACGCGTGCAGTGTCGGGAGGTTGCGGTCCGCCGGGCGTCGCCCCTGCGCCCTCGTGGCTCCTCACCTCCATGCTTCGATCGTTCCCACCGGCCCAGCCTTCCAGGCGCCCTCTTCTCTTCTCTTCTCGGTTGGGCTCCGTGCGCTCCGGCTCGGCTGACGCAGTCCCGGCTCGGCTTTATAAGGCTCCCGCCGGCCCGTTCGGAAAGCGGATTTCCTTTTTCCTGGACGCGTTTCCTGACTTGGGCGTTATGGAGGGGCTCCACGCGGCGCACGCCGGGGCCAGGCTCCGGGAGGAGGAGCCGGGCAGCTCGGGCCCCCAGCCTAACACCAGGAGCCAAGGCACCCTTTCTCAAGCCTTGACCCGGAGCCCTTTGGGTCAATCCTACAACCCCGCCTGAGACCGCCTGTTTTCTTCTGCTTCCACAGATCCCGTCGGAGACGGTCTCTTCAAGGAAGGGAAGAGCCCAGGGTGGGGGCCGTTGAGCCCTGCGGTACAAAAAGGTGAGCTGGCTGGCCGGACTGGGTGGGCAGGGGCGAGGACAGTGGGCGGGAGCCAGGGCACCCACCCAAGAAGGATGGGCGCCACCGCTTCCAGAACAGAGGGTGCGTTGTGCACTACCAGGCTCTAGGAAGCAGAGGATCCCGACATGATTGTGGGGAGGTTGGGCGGAGGGGGGGGGGCATTCAATGGCCTTGGGCTCCTGAATCTTTGGAGTCCCAGCTCTGACCTTGTAGACCAGGGCAGAGGGAGAGGATCCCCGCCCCCACTCACTCTTCTCTCACCGTGGGGACAGAACTGAGGCGCTTGGCATCCTTTCCCTTCCGGGAGCAGGAGCGAAAGGCCCTGGCACCACTGGGCAAGGGGACCCAGAGATTTGCTCCCTGGCCACTCCAGGCCGTGTCACCGCTAGGACTCGGGGCAGCGCCTACCTGCCTCACTGACCCACAGTAGCCAGGCTCTGCGGGCCAAGTCCACAGGGTCATTGCAGTTGATTCCCAGGTTCACAGCCAGCTCTCTGCTGGTGGCTAGATTTGGCTTTGGCTTGTTGGTAGGAAGGTAGCCTGGCTAGCCTTCCAAGCAAAGCCTCCCCACAGTCCATCCCCCGACACACACAAAATACCCTATATCTCGCCGAGTTATAGTAACTGTAAAAACAAAATTGGCAACTGCTTTATTCAAAAGGGAATACGGCTCCCAATAGGAATTCGTTTCCAAGCCTCTGATGTCATGCATCAATGCCACTTACACATTTTCACCCAAACCGTCCCTTGTTTCTGACCCTAAACCTCAACTCTCCCGACCTGGAGCCAGGTATCTCCTTGCCGGGCTTGTACGGAGGGGTGGGGGTTGAAATTGTGAAGGGCAGCATCTGGGTTCTGAGCAAGTCATTGAAAAAGCAAGAGAGGTTCACCAGACTCGATTTGAAGTAATAATCAGACAACTTCTAGGAAAATCCATTTTATTCTAAAAGAGGGGGGTGGATTGTATCCAAAAATGTTTTTCCATGTGTCTGATTGAGGCTCCAAGACAGGGGAGCAGGAGTTCTGGGGCGTCTTACTCTCTCATCACGCATATTTGGGGAAAACCTCCTTGCCGCTTCCAACAACTCCAGAATCTGGAGAGGGCAGAAGAGCCTGGAGATGGACCAAAGATGGGAGAAGGCAGGGAGCCAAGCACAGCAGCTTCCCGGCCTCAGACCCTCTCCTCAGAGCTGTGCATCTCCCCCTGGGGAAGTATGACATCTTCGCATGCCGGGAATCCCGCCTGTTCCGAAAAAGAGGCCGAACGCATTTAGTGCCAGCACAGCGCTCTGAGCACCAGCCCATGGCGGAGGTGGGGAGCTTTCAGAGGCTGCCCCTCCTCTCACGCCTAGGGGGCCACTGTCCTCATTCCTGTCGATGTGGTACCACAAGGATGCCGGCCATCACCTCTTTCCCACCTCAAGCTGCGGTACAACTGTATGCCTTTGGGGGCTGGGCCTTGCAGTGGTGGGGGCGGTCCTGCTGCAAGCCTGCGCTTCTCTCTGGATCTCTGGATGTGATCCAGCTGGGATGTGGCAGTCCCAGCACCTGGGCGGTGCACCCCTCCTGCGGTTGTGCAGGCTCTGCCCTGAATTAGGACTCCTGGCGGAGGTAACAGTAGGGGCTGATATCGGGTCCTTGCTCACCTCCGAGAGCCAATGTGTCTCGCCGCGCTACTGCCTCCATGCAGAGGAGGCGATGCTCCGCTCTATGCCCCCAGTTCTCACAAAGCCACGCGCCCGCGGGGCTGCGTCCTCCTAAGTGTGAGCCGTATTTTCATTGTGGAAAAGCGAGGTAATGGCTAGGACAGCTTTGCTGATCAGCCCCTCTCTGGCCAGACGCTCCAGCTGCGCCCAGCTACACAGCTGGACTTATCCTTTCCCTCCCGAACACCGTTTTCCGCGGGCTGGATCTGTCTCCCGCCTCACCTCTTCCCCCACCTTCAGCCTCCCCCATGGAGCCTGTGGCTGACTGCCCCCCTCCCCACAGGCAGTGGGCAGATCCAGCTGTGGCAGTTTCTGCTGGAGCTGCTGGCGGACCGGGCCAACGTCGGCTGCATCGCGTGGGAGGGGGGCCACGGCGAGTTCAAGCTCACGGACCCAGACGAAGTGGCGCGGCGCTGGGGAGAGCGCAAGAGCAAGCCCAACATGAACTACGACAAGCTGAGCCGGGCACTGCGCTACTACTACGACAAGAACATCATGAGCAAGGTGCACGGCAAGCGCTACGCCTACCGCTTCGACTTCCAGGGCCTAGCGCAGGCCTGCCAGCCGCCCCCCGCG